GCGCTCGCACTTCCTCTCCCACTTCCACCCCCCGTCCGGTCGCGCCGCCGCCGCCGCCTGCGCCCCCCGGCGACCGTTCAGGCTTCCCCGGCCTATCCCCGCGCGCCCGCGCTTCCGCCCCATCCCCTCCTGGTCCCGTCGGCGCTCGCGCGCCTCCGTCGTCCGAGGAACAACGCCCGAGTGCTCGCTGCCGCACCGCGCCCGCAAGGTGTTTGACGAAACGCCTACAAGGTATGTATTGCTCAAACTTCATGAATTTGATGCATGTTTTGAATTGTAGTTTTTATAGTATAGTATTGAACATTGTAGATGAGTTCGTCGTATGATTCTTCCAAAGAAGAATTTGATATGGAAGAGGAGGAGGATCTTGCAATGATCCTAGCTATGCATATAAAAAAAACCGAAACACGGTGGTTCGGTTATGGGTCGGCAGAAAATTTGGAGAGATAGGATCGATGCCCACAACAGATTGATCAGGCATTATTTTGCGGAGAATCCCATATACCTCGAGCCGTATTTTCGTCGCCGGTTTAGGATGAGCACCGAGTTGTTCAGGCGCATTGCAGAGAAACTAGCGAGCCATGACCGTTTTTTTCAGCAAAGGAGGAATGCCGCCGGAGAGCTCGGGCATAGCACCTTTCACAAGGTGACAACCGCTTTGCGTATGTTGGCATACGGTATACCGGCTGATCTTGTTGATGATCACTTGGCTATGGGTGAGAGCCAAGCCATCATGTGTGTCAAGCGCTTTGCAGTGGGAATTGTGCAAGTGTTTGGCGAGGAGTATTTGAGATCTCCCAATGCTAAAGACGTCGCAAGGCTATTGGCGATGAACAAAGCTCGCGGTTTTCCTGGCATGCTTGGCTCAATAGATTGCATGCATTGGAGTTGGAAGAATTGTCCAAATGCATGGCATGGGCAATTCCACGGTCAAAAAAGGGTTCCACTATAATCCTTGAAGCGGTGGCCGATCAGGAGACTTGGATTTGGCATGCATTCTTTGGAATGCCTGGATCTTTGAATGACATCAATGTTGTCAACCGGTCACCACTGATGAATAAGATTGCAAATGGTGAGTTGCCACCGGTGCAGTTTGTAGCAAATGACCGTACGTACAACTATGGCTATTATCTAGCGGATGGCATCTATCCAAAGTGGCAAACCTTCGTGAAGCCGTTGAAAAAGCCGGAAGGTAAGAAAAATCTTGACTTCCACAATGCTCATGCGACGGCTAGAAAAGATGTGGAGAGAGCATTTGGGATTTTGCAAGCCCAATTTGTTATTGTGAGAGGACCGGCTAGATTTTGGGATCAAAAAATGTTTTGATACATCATGCACGCTTGTGTGATCATGCACAACATGATCATCGAGAATGAGCGTGGCCAAGATTTAGACTACTCACAGTATGAGCTCTTGGGATATCCCGTGCGAGTGCGACGGAGGGCTGAAAGGGTAGCCCGTTTTATTGCCTCATATCATGCCATTCGGCGTCCCGCAACGCACAATGAACTTCAGAATGATTTGATTGAAGAGTGGTGGGCATGGCATGAACGACAAAGAGCATGATGATATCTGCATTCGACATTGTATTGTTCATGAACTATTTGTTGTATTTATTGCATTTGTTGTACTGAACGATAAACTTTTTGTTTGAGTTGTAATGATAACGAAATTGAACTATTTAATGTTGATTTATTTTGTTTGTTTGATCATTTTTGCTCATAATACATGTATATGTGGTTTGTGCGACGCGCGCGCTGTATTTTTATGCTCTGCTGGAGCGGCGCGCGCGCTGCATTATAGCGCGGCTGCTGGAGCCAGCGCAAGCGGGCGCGCTAAACCAGTCGAAGCGCGCGCGGCAAACAGGTTTTTTACGCGCGGTGCTTAGCGCCGCTGTTGAAGATGCTCTCAGGACCTGTCCATGGACGCAAATGCAACCCGGTTAATATGTTCAGGCATTCGACTACAACATGTCCACGTGAGCAATGTGCTCCACGGATTCGATCCAATCCAATCATGACTGATTTCGTAAGAGTGTGGGAAAAAGATCGGCCGGTCGGTTGCTATAACACGGACCTGATTGGTTTCATTCAAAAAAGATTAGCACGCGTGCCAGCTCGATCAACTCACTCGGCTGAGATGATCCAAAACATACTTCATCATTTGAATATCGTGCGTCTGATCCTCGAGGCAGGGGAACACAACCAACCACTACGGCCCTATCCGATCCCCTGACTGATGCTCACCGGCAATCCACAGATTACGCGCATGATCCTAGCAATTTCTTCGCTCGTTTACAATAATTTCGGGTTCGGCCAGCATGATCATTATCCATCCAATGGTTTCTAGACTGGTTCGTCCCGGCTTCCTATCCTATTATATATATATTAACATAACGATCGCATAATCGGAGTCGACAAGCCGTACGTACTCCGAGCACCGACAATCTTTTTGTACAAACTTGATTAAGACGCCGACGTATAATAATCAAATGAACATGAAAAAATCGGCCCGCCGACGGGGGCATGGTTTCACGAGTCCCCTGGCCTGCCGTCGCTCGTACGGCCAGGGCCAAATACACATGACATGATACTCCCAGCCCAGCGCCAGAGCCAGAGGAGAAGGATCCTGCTTCTGCACATGATGTGCAAGTCGTAATCAAATGTCGCTGGTGGCAGCTAATAATTTCCTTGGTGGTTTCAACGTCCCATTAATTTGCGCTGCTGACACGGTGCTTGCGTGGAGAATATTCCCGGTCAAACAACACATGCGTGGGGACAAAAACGCACAACATACGACCAGCAGGGGGTTTAGTCTCCTCGATCCATCTCTAGTCTGTTCAACAGACCATACATATACATCCGTGCGTGTGTTTCTTTTCCCCCACTAATTTGGCACCGTCTGAACGAACGATTGTATATATAGAGCAAACAAAAACGCAGAGGTACCACCAAAGTGATATTTTATGGGCAGGCACTTGGAAGTGGATAGGATAGGGTGGTTTCGTTTCCTCCTGCCATCCGTCCGGAAATATTTGTCCTAAAAATTGATAAAAATAAAAGCATTTATAATTAAAAAAAATCTAGATATAACCATTTCTAGGATAAGTATTTTCGGACGAAGGGAGTAATTTGGAAATCGAGGCAGCAATACCCGTGTTTGTTTGTTTAGCGGGATTGTTTTAGGCAACCATCGAACCTGGCTACTAGCCGCAACAGGAGAAACGAGTAGTACTGCATTTGCGTCCAAAGTCTATCCCTCGCCGTGGAGTACGTAAATACACTGCGTGTTGTTTATTCCGGGGCGCAACAATTTCCGCTTCCTTCAAACGCGGGCGTACTCCTGACTCACTGACTCGCAGGCAGTTGCTGCAGTGGTACGTATCGACCCATGGGTAGGTGGTACTCCTCGGAAATGGTCTCGAAGCCAAATCACCCCAAGATTAGGATTTTTCCCACGGATTGCGACAAAAAGATTGATTTCTCGCAGGATAACGTAGTAAATAGGCTGGCCCTTGGATTCACCGGGGCCGCGCATGTCGCTTGCGCCGTCCGTCGTCCATTCGATAATGTCAAAAAGCGGATGTGAATATACAAAGAGAAAACGACGGCCTACTTTCAGAAACAAGAAGAAAAACGACGGCCTGGCCAGCCGTGACGCATACTCATCTCAGAAACGAAAAAACAATGCCTAATCCTTCTCCCGGATCACCATCGAGTATGTCATCGGAAGCCTTAATAATGCATTATTACCAGCAGTACATGTACATCAGGCCGCAAAATGCAGCTTGGCCAGCACGCACGCACACGGAAAATATCAAAAACCACGGCCGTCCAACACACATAGGACACACACACATACACAGAATAATAAGTACCAAAAATATCCAAAGCAAACATCGACGTAGAATAATTCCGAAAATATCCACAAGGAATATCAACGCCGGAAGAATATTCCAGATAGAGCGAGCGGCGTACTCCATGCCCATGCGTACCTATCCATCCTTCCGGGCGCCGCGTCGGACGGGCGACGCGGGCGAGAGCACAACACCAATTTTGCCGCCACCATCCATCAGATCCTTCGCTACTCCCTCCGTCTAGGTGTGTACTAAGTCATCTTATAAAAACCAAATAATCCCAAAACATTTAGGCGTGGTGCATTAAATTTTATGTTGTTTCTTGTTTCTTGGCATATCAACCAATAAGAGATGTGGGGTGTGCATGCTTTTAATGAATTGAGACTACCAAACACGACACGACACTGTAGTTCATTGCATGCAATGCTATTAATTAGCAAATAAACATTAAGTTCTCTCGTTTTCTCCTCCTCCTTGGTCACGGTGCACAACCTAAGATGACTTACTCACCTGGACGGAGGGAGTACCATCAAAGGTTCAAGGTGGCCAGCCTCCAAAATCCAAAATTCAATGCCTGCAAATTTTCTTGCCCGCCACGACGCACGGTCCAATGAACGAGGATTAACTCCCCGTACTTAATCGCTTCTTAATGTGGAAATCGTCGCCGGTTCAATTGTCCCGATCGGCGATTGATCACCACGTCGCTCTCGGATCGACGACAGCGGCGGCGACCGAGGCTAGATTAAGCACACCGGTCCACGATTCAACGCCAGCCTAGCTCGCCGCCAACGAGCGCGCACGCAATTTGCGACCTATTCGTTGATCATCTCATTCATCTCTTAATTTAGCCAAACCACTGGGGCTTAAAATCAAATTAATTAAGCAATGGAGCTCGTGGCAGGAACAAGATCGACCATCGGACGCGCGATGGAAGGCAGGGGAACCAAAATTTGATCGGAGGCACGCATCGGTTATGGAGGATGGATGCCTCCGGTCCGAGTAAAAACTAGGGCTAAGCTAAGCTAGTGGAGCCTCTCGTCGCTGTCTGCTAGTATGTCAGCATTGCTCTTCTGCCGGCCGGCCGGCCGGCCGGCGAGCGCAGGTCGTCGGCGCTGATGAATGAGTTTTCGGGCGGCGGGTCGCGTCACATGACGGAGCAGGAGTTGGGGTTCTCGTCGCTGAACATCTGCGAGGGCGGCGCCGTGTCGAAGTGGTAGGGCGGCGGGTACGGCTGGTACGCCTGGTGGTTGGGGTGCTCCTGCTGGTAGTAGCCGCCGCTGGGGTGCTGCTGCTGGTAGTAGCCGCCGGCCTCTCTTGGTTGCTGGTAGTAGCCGCCGGCGTCGCCGCCCGGGTGCTGCTGCTGGTAGTAGCCGTTGGCGCTGGGGTGCTGCTGTTGTTGGTAGTAGCCGCCGCTGCCGGCGCCGGCGTACCCCGCGCCGTCGGCATTGCCGCCGTAGGGGCTGTAGTAGCTGGGCGGGGGCCCCTGCGGCTGCGGGTACGGCCCCTGGCCGTACGGCGAGACGTGGTGCGTCCTCGCCTGGACCGGCGCGGGCGCCACGGAGGCCGCGGCGGACGCCATGGACGGGCCCGCCACCTCGATGCCTTTCCCCTTGTCCTGGCTCATGACGACGTGGTCGCCGCCCGCCTCTTTGTCTGTCTTCTTCTCGGCGTCGCCGGCGCCCTTGTTGTCCTTCTTCTCGTCGCCGGCGCCCTTGTCCTTCTTGCCGGGCGCGACGGCCTCGACGGCGCGGTTGAGCTTCTCGGTCAGGTACGCCACCATGGCGGGGACGTCCATGGTGCCCGTGACCTTGACCTCGTCCTTGGCATTGCCCTCCAGCTCCACATGCTTGACCCCTGGAGTAGACAAGACACACAGAGAATCGTCAATTTCGAACGGAAGACACAAAATTAACAGCAGAACAAGCAGAGAAATCAAAGAATCAAGAAGAATCCGAGCAAAACAGCACCTTTTATTTTGTATATCCGGCGTCTGATGCGGTCGGCGCAGCCGTCGCAGTGGAGGCGGATCTTGAGCAGCACCGTGGTCTCCTGCGAAAGAGAAATCGAAGCGGAGAGATCGTGAGCCGCGAGGTCGGTGGGACGGGCGTGGTGGTTGGGGGCAGAGTATTGCGTGGGGGTAGGATTTGCTGCGTGTGTTGTGTACCGACCTGGAGCTCCGTGGGCTTCTTCTCCTCGGTGGGGGTGGGCGGTTGCTTCTTCGCCGCGTCTTCCTCTTTGGGCAGCTGCGGCTTGGAGGCGCCGGCCTTATCCCCCTTGTCGGGATCCTTCTTGTCGCCCTCCTTGTCGGGGCTCTTCTTCTCGGCCGCGGCGGGGGCTGCTGCGGGCTTGGCCGGGCCGGGGCCGGCGCCGGAGGAGACGATCTCGACGGGCTTCTTGGTCCGGGACTCGATCCGCGCCTTGAGCGCGGCCGCGTCGGCCGTCCCCGCCACGACGACCCTGTTCGCCGCCGCGTCGGCCACCACCGACTGCACACCTGTCGAGAAGCAGCGATTCAGCACCAGACCAAACAAAAATGCAGAGAAGGGCAGAAGAAATCGGCGGCGGGATGGAGCGGGCGCGTACCGGGCATGCTCTTGATGCTGTTGCGGACCTTCTTGGCGCAGCCGGCGCAATGCAAGACCATCTTGAGCACGACCGGCGGCGGCGGCTCGGCGGCGCTCTCGACGGCGCCGGGAGCCTCCTTCCCCGCCCCCATGGAGACCGACGAGGCTGGCTAGCTACGCTCTGTGGCTCTCCGCGAGATTTTTCTAGACTCTTCCTCTCTACCTCTCTCCTACACGTGTTGGCGCGAGCAGGGGAGCGTGGGTGTTTGACGGCGCGGGCGAGGGAAGAAAGCCAAGCGGAACGAGACGAAACAAAACGGCAGTGCGGCGCGGGCGGGGATAAATAGGCGGGGGGAGGAGCGGGCGGAAGGAAAGGGACGGAGGAGGTAGAAGGCAAGCGGAAGCCGTGTGGCGCGCGGCGGGGCCCGCGCGTCTATGGTCCTTTTACCATAGACGTCGTGATGTTTGCGCGTCTTGGAACGATATAGGTGAATCCATACGGCGGCAGCGCTATGTTTTCTTGTTTTATTATTAGTTTCGAGCATGCTACACGGGCAAACAGTGGACGTCATCTCGTCTCTCGTCGGTGATGCCGTCAAGCCACCCCTCTCTTGGAACCAGCAATGATTAACGTCGGAGTGTTCTCTTGTTTTAGCCGTCTCTCTAGCCCTAGCCCTTGCTACGGGGTCTTCAAGGCGGCCTCGAAGTCTGGCAGAAAAAACAGCTTCCTCTGTACGTACAAGCCTAGAAAAAAAAACACCAGCTGCTTGGGTACAACCCCACGAAAAGCAGCTTCTTCGGTACAGACAGATAAGAAAATGGTGAGCGTTTTTTGTGGCACAAGGTAAAAGCAGCGCTATAAATAAATGTTGGTGCTCCACGACCGTTGTCTCGTGAAACGTGAAAGGTTCAGCTGGGCAGGTGGTACCTACGTACGTCAGCGGCCGTCCTCCCTGACGGCGACGCGATGTGCCGCCACCTGTCCTGCGAGCTACTGTACGTGTGCTTACGTACTGTACTACTGCCAGTACGTTCACGCGAGACAGAACGGGTCGTACAAAACTTGAGCACGTACGTACGCACGCACGCACGTACAGTCCAACAAAACCCTTGCGCGCGTTGTTGTTGTGTCGTGTGCTGTTTGACGAGGCGTTTCGTGGACGCCAAGGGAGCTGCGAGTCCAGACAGAAAGGAAGAGAACTTGTATCGTGCTGTGATCTGTATCGTGACTCATGAGGCTCGTCTTCTATGTACTGTTGCGGTGACTGAACTATCGAATCGGAATGGGAAACGACTGTGGTGTTGGTCCTGGTGGCACTTGGGGTTTGCTCCGCATGTTCGTCGCCGCTCACGAACGGTGAACTTTCACGGCGACTCGCGACGACCGCCGCAACGACGGATGGTGGTCAGTCGCGACGCGAGGCAAATGTCAGGTCCCGAAGCGACGCGTTTCTTTTACGAGCGTTTTTTTTTCCCATTCAGAGACGAAGTTGGGTTTTTCTTCAGGCAACGGAGAGGAAACTGATCGGTGCGGAGGGCGCGAGCGAGCGCGTGCTCTTGGCCCAGGCCCGCCACGCGCTCATGCGCGAGGGGGCCTAGGAGGTCCACTTTCTCCAATATCGCAGCACTTGCCTGTACGCGCTTACCTAAAAAAAAAAACTTGCCTGTACGCGCTATACCTCTCTCAGTCTATGTGGTGGCCAGTGAATTGCATCGCGGGCGACCGATGGTTTTCCTCTCCTCCGGTATGCGCGTTTGCTCAGAAAATCAGTGTTTTTTTTCCTGAAAAAAACACAGATAACTTTATTAATTAGAAACACCTAGCAAAAATATATCCGTGCGTTGTAACGGAAGAGAAAACATCATACATCCTAAAAAATATCAAATCGGCTGCATTGCAACGTATATGAAAAAAATTTAAATACGTACTTTAAAACCTATACAACAATCTCACCTCCCAAATAGCACGATTCTACATTAGATATAAAACAAAGCATTACCCCACTTGTGACTAATCGTTACATAGCACGTAAGGGCATACGACATGTGACGCCATGTGATTGAAGCAAAATGAAAAGTAACTATACGCTGCCTGGTTCAGGTGGTCAACAGACGACTCCATATTGCATTTCGCAGAATTATGCTCCTGCCCATGGCACCTACAACACCAATTCTTCACGGGGGTCTCCATATACACGGCTCGTCAGCAATATTCCTGATCATGACCTCTGGTTTCTATGCGCATGTAGCTTAGTTCAATAGCTTATGTATAAAGAGTAAAAGAAGGAAAGGCTTCACGATAGAGGTACATGATGCCAAGAAACTTTGTGGTTCAAGAGAGCAAAATGAGGACAAAGACAATAAAATAATATTTTTCTATCCAACGATAGAGAGTAATAAAATATAATCATTAGAATTTGGCTATGCAAACGAACCAACATCGTGAAGAAATTTCACCCCATGAACAACTACTACAAACAAAAAGCAAGAATTAAGACCAAACATGAATTATAAGTAAATAAATGACATGAAAAAGCAAATATATACACATGTCTGTTGCACGTGGCCCACTTTGTCCTTGGAGGAGGAGCTGTTGGTGGACGCCGTCTGTGTCGGGTTGCCATCGAGCTCAACCACCGGCATGGAAGTACACCTTGAACTTGGCCGCCGTGCTAATTCCTCTCATAGAATTGAACATTTGGAGATAAGCTGATAGGAGGATTCATATGATATTGTATGTTTAGCAGATGTCTATTAAATTTGAGCATAATTATTCTCCCAAATAAACTTGTCGCAAATCCAGCTTTTTACATACATAGAGATAAACAATGAAAATTAAGAATTGAAATTATCAAAAACAGATCATTTGGTAAATGCAACAATGACTAAGAAGTGAAATCACACAGTATAAAGAGGGTTTATAAAGAGGGTGAGGCAATTCAGACAATATTACCATTGCACTCAGTTGACAGTCATCTCCAACCAAAACAAGATGTTTTTACCAATGTAGTGGGATCATCAATTCACACTCCCGCACTAGGGTAGTACATACAGAAGTTTTGCATTAAGCATGCAGTAGTTCTGGACCCAATTTTTGTTTACCCCATTGGGTAAATTAAGCGAGTGCGGGAGATCCTTAAGGAATTTAACGCATGTAGACCTTGCTCCATCCAGTTCCTTCTCAATAGAGGATACAGGTTGTGCACAAACAGAGTTTCACAACCAAAGCCCCTTTTTAAACCCTCCTTAGTCAAGTCTACGTCACACATAAGGCCACCAAAATCATCCAGCATGTGAAGCAATGTAGATATATTTATTTATCAATTATGACACTATCACGAGAAAAGCACCATCCAGGAACGTGAACGACAAGGCAATAGGGCGCGCCCAGGAGGGCGCCCTGTTACCTTGTGGGCCCCACGTGGCTCCATTTGACCTAATTCCAGTTCTATAAATTCTCATATATTGGGAAACCCCTAGAGAGCCACCCGAAACTATTTTTCCGTTGCCGCAAACTTCTATTCTTCCGCGGTCCCATCTAGAGGCCTTTTCCGGTACTCTGTCGGAGGGGGAATCGATCACGGAGGGCTTCTACATCATCCTTACTGTCTTTCGATGATGCATGAGTAGTTTACCATGGATCTACGGGTCTATAGCTAGTAGCTAGATGGTTTCTTCTCTCTCTCTTTGATATTCAATACAATGTTCTCTTCAATCTTCTTGGGGTTATATTTGATGTAATCTTCTTTTGCAGTGTGTTTGTTGGGATCTAAAGAATTGTGGGTTTATGATAAGATATTCAATGAAAATAATCGAGTCTTTTCTGAACTTTATTATGCATGATTATGGCAGATTTGCATTTCTCTCTCATCTATCTGTTTGGTTTGGCCAACTAGATTAATTTATCTTCAGGGGAGAGGTGCTCTGTAGTAGGTTCAATCTTGCAGTGTCCTCACCCGGTGACAAAAAGGGTAGCGATGCACGTATTGTATTTTTGCTAGTAAGGATAAAACGACACAGTTTATTCATATTGATTGGGTTTACTTTGTTTACATCATGTCATCTTGCTTAAAACGTTACTCTGTTGTCATGAACTTAATACCATAGACGCATGCTGGATAGCTTTCAATTGGTGGAGTAATAGTAGTAGATGCAGACAGGAGTTGGTCTACTTGTCACGAGCGTGATGCTCATATGTGTTATTATTGCTATGAATAACGTCATAACTATGCGCTTTTCTATCAATTGCCCAACAGTAATTTGTTTACCCACTGTATGCTATGTGTTCGAAAGAGAAGGCTCTAGTGAAAACTATGGCCGCAGGTCTACTTTTATCATATTATAAAAACCAAAAATACCTTGTTGCAATTTATTTACTTTTATTTTGTTTTGCAATTTATCTATCTACATGTACAAAATTTAATCATTGCAATTAACGAGTTTAAGGGAATTGGCAACCCTCTTGCCCACGCTGGGTGCAAGTATTTGCTTTTGTGTGTGCTGAAGGAAATATGCCCTAGAGGCAATAATAAAGTTGTTATCTTATATTTTGTTATTCATGATAAATTTTTATTATTCATGCTAGAATTGTATTGATCGGAAACATAAATACATGTGTGAATACATAAACAAACACAGTGCCCCTAGTGAGCCTCTACTTGACTAGCTCGTTGATCAAAGATGGTTAAGGTTTCCTAACAATAGACATGAGTTATCATTTGATAACGGGATCACATCATTAGGAGAATGTTGTGATGCACAAGATGAAGGAAATATGTCCTAGAGGCAATAATAAAGTTGTTATTTTATATTTTCTTATATCATGATAAATGTTTATTATTCATGCTAGAATTATATTAACCGGAAACTTGATACATGTGTGGATACATAGACAAAATATCATGTCCCTAGTAAGCCTCTGCGAGACTAGCTCGTTAATCAAAGATGGTTAAGTTTCCTAACCATAGACATGTGTTGTCATTTGATGAACAGGATCACATCATTAGGAGAATTATGTGATGGAAAAGACCCATCCTAGCACATTGATCGTTCAGTTTTATTGCTATTGCTTTCTTCATGTCATATACATATTCCTTTGACTATGAGATTATGCAACTCCTGGATACCGGAGGAATACCTTGTGTGCTATCAA